TTCTGACCTGCACTCCCAGTGGGAATAAGTATTTCCTTGTGACCTTTGAAAATGAGGGAGTCATAAACATGTTTATCCTCTGACCAGAGGCAACTGGAACACAAGTGTCTGCTAAAATGGCGGAACATATAAGTATTTTTTCCTAAAACTGAGAGAATGGAATGGATTAATGCCACTCATTTTAAAAATGAGAAAGTTTTGTCACCCTTGCAGGATAAAGGGAATCACACCTATCTGGTCTTTACCATAGAAGTATCAGGCAGTTAGAGCAGCCAAAGAGTGGAGTATAAAAAACTGTAAAACAAATTGGGACATTCCAATCAATTTGACAAGGCTGAATATATTCCTATATGTATGGAAAAGCTACCTAGGGCAAAGGTCAGGTCATATCTAACTATCACACCTTTTCCGTTTAAATTCAGAAATCGTGTATGGGTGACCAGAAAGGGGCGAAGTCCAGAGAAGGGTTAGCTTAAAACTAAATCAGAAGGTTTGGATACAGTGAAGTCAATTCTCTGGGAAAGTAGTTTCACTCCAGAAGAGAGGACCGGTTCACCCGAGCCAACTGAGTTTAGAATCCAGATAGGAATATGACTGCGGCCTACCCATCCACTGTTGATGCTATCAGTCTCACATCACATGACATGTTTTGCACACACACGTGGCAGTTAATGTGCTTTCTTCCACAGGAGAGGATGGCTTTTTGTGGGATCTTCCCGCAATAAGTTAGAATTTGTCTTGGTAAATTCTGTACCAAGGGATATTCGATAGAGCAAAAGAGGGAATTTAAATCTGAGTAACAAGCAATAGCTCAATACAAAGGATTTAGCAGTAGAAACTGTTAGAATCTATAGTGAATTATGCAAGAAAGATGGCAAGACGAAACTCTGTCTATTAGCATATGGATCATTAGAGCTTGAATGGAGAATACCTCAGTATCAAAGAGGAAATGGAAAATAACCTTTATATTATTTTTCTCATTGTTTTTTAACTTTACACTATTAGTTTTCTTTTCAGTTATTTTAATTGTTATACGCTTACACCCTAAAAGAGTATTCATTTAAATTAGATTTTTTTTGAGCACATCTCTCCTTCTTTTTTTGCTGGTTCTCACACAGCATGGAGATGTAGGGCTGTCAGGGTCGTTAAACTGATAAGAGTAAATTATGGCCCAGTGCTTTCTGCCATTAGAGGCCAACTGAGTAAGAGGAGAAACAATCACCTTGCTGTATATACAAATTCCAGAGCAATATGGAATACATGACCCCTTGAGAAAACCCTTGGGGAATGTTTTATTTTAACTGAAACAACTTTTTATGAATCAGAGAAATGATTTAAACTTGATTTTAGCTATATTGTTGAGATTAATACCTCAGCAATCTACCAAGAGGATTTGAACCTGCCTAGCGGGGGAAACTTCAGTCACAGTGCCTCAAGTGAAGCCAAGTCCTGGACCCAGGAAACCTGTGCAGCATGGATCAGCGGCTGAGTCACCTGTAACCCCTGTGGAGGGAATGAATGTTTCTTCCAGCTCTGTGGGACAGGCTGCATCTCTACCCGCTGAGCCACTCAGATCGCAGTGGATTTCCCAGAAAAGGATGACGACTACCTGATAACTGCATGGTCAGATATCAGACGCCAGGTAGCAGCAGCCCTACCTACCCCCTGCCACTGGTCCACTTCACCATCTCCAACCCGGCGACTTCGTGCTGGTCAAGGACTTCCGGAGAAAGAGCTGGAAATCCAACCGTTGGCAAGGTCCCTACCAGGTGCTCCTCATCACCCAGACAGCGGTCAAGGTCACCGAGAGAGCCACGTGGGTCCATGTCAGCCACTGCAAGGTCGTAGTCACAGGCCAGGAGAGACGGTAGAAAAGACGACAACAAGTGACGTGTCCTAGTCACCAACGGAAACGACAACAAGTGACGTGTCCTAGTCACCAACGGAACGACAACAAGTGACGTGTCCAGTCACACCAGCACCACACTGGCACCACATACACCTAATCTCACACTGCACACACAGGATGTCATGAGCGAGTGCCAGCTAAGCTGTTTCATATGCCTCTGGTTCCTCGTTTGTGCTATCATTGTGTGGGGCCTCATTGACCTTGTCACAAAGTCATGAGCGATTATTGACGAGGTCTAAAAATCCATAACAAATGTCGACCGAGTTATCTAGCCTTTCGTTTGGAGATGTCGTCCAGCGAAAAACTGCAACCCCTCCATGGTCAGGGTCAAGGATTTACATCAGATAAATACATGGATTTAGGAGTCTACACTGGAACAACAGATGGGCCCCTCGCTCGAGAACATTCCAGTGCGGTACCATGTTTTCGGTGTTTTTCACACCAGGTTCATCAAAAGGTCGTCCTGATTCATACTGAAGAACTTTTCATGATATTGATGCTTGAAGTTTTACGGATGAATATGTTGCACGATTTTTATCTGTTGCTATTTGATAACTTTGCGTTTTGAAGAGAGGGTGTTGAGATCATAGTATGAAGTGAATACTTAAAAACGAAAGTTAATTATAAATCATATATGATCAATCATATTCTTGTATAAACCCATAATGAGAATGCTTCTTGACGGTTTTGAATATGTATGTATGCTTACAATTTTTCTGTTGCTATTTGATAACTTTGCGTTTTGAAAAGAGGGTGTTGTGAGTTTTCATAGTATGTTTAATACTTAAAACGAAAGTTAGTTATAATCAAATATAATCAATTATATTTTGTATAACCCACAATGAAAAATACTTCATATTTTAGGTTTTTCTATAGTCACAGTATAAACAAAACCAAGTGGTTTGTTAAGTTGAGTGTAAGCCTAAAGAGTTATGGGTGTTTCAGATAAGAGAGGCCGTTTTCCCTCTCCTCTGCAGCAGTTCACAGGGAGGGGCTCCTGACTGAAGGAGAAAACATTGAGGCCTCAAAAAGTTGGTTATGATAGCCATAGAATATGTCTGTTCATGTCCTGTTTTCTACACAAACATGGGAAGGTGTGTCTTAGGCCATAGCCAATAGAAGATGTTGGTTGGGAATAGAGGAGGTGTTTGTTTTTTGGGGTTTCGATCCGGTTTTTTGAGCATAAAGTGACTGGTTTTTTGAGAGAGCGAGAGAGAGGGGGGTTTCCCCTGGTATACTCTCTCCCGGTAGGCTTTGTCCTTCAGAGCTGGGTTAATAGCTCTCGGTAAGGTCCTCTCACACTTGGTAAATATCTCTGAATTTGTTGGTTGAAATGTTGAGTGAATTTGGTTGAAATGCTGAGTGAATTTCTTTGAATGCTGAGTGAATTTCTTGGTTGGAATGCTGAGTGGAATGATTTGATGGGAGATGTGTTTGTGATTAGTAACCGCCACCGTGAGGATCTTCCTCCGAAATACCTGCGGGAGATAGGTATGTGTTTGTGGATGTTAGTACCCGCCATCTGTGTCGGATAGGAGTGTGTTCGTAATTAGTAACCGCCACCGTGAGGATCTTCCTCCGAAATACCTGCGGGAGATAGGTGTGTGTTTTTGAATGTTAGTACCCGCCGTCTGTGTCGGAAAAAAGGTATGAACCTGATGTTAATTGATTGGGTGAAAATGAAAGTTTGAATTCAGATTTTTATTGTCACCGGTCTTTTTACGAGGAAATACCTCTAAATTCTATCGGGAGATTTTTAAAATGTCACAACTGAATTGGGCAGTTGAAATTAAACATTTTGGTAATAAATGTAAGACTGTGAATTAAAGTTTCATATTTGAACATGATCACAGCACCATTTTTTTAGTATGATTATAATGTTGTAAAGAGAGAAGGTAAAAACCCTGTATTAGTTTGGACCTATTTTTCTTCAAATAAACTGATCCCACCTTTTTGGACTGGGATAACTTAAAAGACACCTGTGCCCTCCTCTCCTGCTTAAAAGGTAAGACTGCACCCTGCCACACACACTTAGGTAGGAGCACACTCCATTTACTGATATCAAAATCCTTCGGGATCCCTTAAACAGATTAAAAAAGAGTTGTCTGAATTGAAACAGCAGTTAATTGAACCTGGTTCTTCGGGGAGTTAATAGAGGTGAGATCTTGCTGACGTTGGTGGATCTGAGCCAAGCAGTAAACTTACATAGACTCAATAACTTCGGTCAGGTCAATTAGTAGGTCAGAGTAATTTACCGGAATAAATTATCAGGACCTCGCCGACTCTAAACATAGGCCAGTCACAAGCTCTAGCCAATCAAACCGCTGCTTGTGTGTCTGGGGCGGGAGATTCATGTGATTGGTTTGGTCGAGTGTCAGACATGCCCGCCGGCAAGCTTCAACGCACGCCGCCGTGTGTAGGGGCCGTGAGGGAAGATTAGTCAAATGATGCCGCTGACGTCACTTCTTCTTCTTCTCTTCTTCTTCTGCTTTGGGTTTACTGGCAGGCCGCAAACAACTTCACGGCGTATACTGCCACCCGAAGTCCCCGGCCGGAAGTCCCCGGAGTTGGGGACTGGCTTCAGTAGAAGCTGCGCCTTCCGAGTAAATCGCCAGAACGCCGACACCTCCTCATTTCCACCGCTCCCATGTTTTCTTTTGTGTTGCCATAAGTTAGTCTCTCTGCGTTTGTGCGCTGGGCTAATGCTAATGCGAGGAAAATAAAATGGCGGCTTCACAAAACTTTTTGGGAGTTTTACGGGGCGTGGTTTGCAATCCGCCCAGCCAATCAGAAATGGGAACCTTTTTCTCCCATGAAAGTACCTGCTCTTCTAGGACTGAAAAGGGGGTGGAAAGGTTCTCATGAACTAAGTTCTAGTTCCGGATTTTTTTGGTGTGAACGCACATTTTCGGAACTATATCGGAACTCTACTGGGAAAAGTACTCCGGTGTGAAAGCGCCTATTGTCTTCATTTAATATGGTCCAGCATGGTAAGCGCTATATATATAGATACATTTAACTAAGTAACTTACTTAATACACAATAAAGAGATAATACCACTAAGTAAACAGTAGTGAGAACAGGATATTATCTCGTCTCGTCTCATGTTATCTCACCAGTAATCGAGGATGTGATGCAGCAGTTCTGCTATGGGCGGACCCTCGGCTGTGGCTGGTTCATACAGAAGACCCCACGAGCCGTCCTCGCCCACCACAAACTGTTGAGACACAGTCAGACTGCTGTATCAATATGTCAGCTTTTCTTGTCATACGTGAATACTGCTGCTGCTCACCTGCAGAGTTTTATCAAACCAGCGGTTGCCGCTGTTTGAGAACGTCCCACCTCCGTGCAGAATCTGTGCTGCCTTGCGACTGGCATACCTGTCAATCAAAGTTGGAAAAACAAGATGGACACAAAGAAACAAAATAATCAAAAGTCACTGGTGGTAAGTACATTTAGGCAAGTACTGTGCTTTAGTACAATTCATGAATACTTTTAAATGACTATTTCTATTTTTGTTAAGTTCAGATAATGGTATTTCTGATGATGGTTTTGTATGTTTGTTTGTTGTCTGTTGCATGTTTCTTATATAATATTTCTTATACTATTATTTAGTAAAATAAATATTGCTTTAAGCTTAAAGGTGGGGTAGGTAATTTTGGAGAAACCAGCTCGAGTGCGCTAGAATTTGAAAATACACAGCCGGAAAAAATCTGCCACTTCCTTACAGAGCCCCTCCTCCAACACCACGAACGCGCACATGACCAATGAGGGCACGAGATAAGTTTGTGCACAGATGGAAGGCTGACAGGCAGGTAGGCCATCCAGTTATTTTAGCCGGGCCGGCTAAAATGATTCGTCGTGCTTTTTACAGTACTACAGCTTCCACAGATGACATTTTGTTATGGATTTTTTGTCAAAGCACTTAAGATATTCATTGCTATCGGGATGTTAAGAGCATTCCATGCAATATAACAAAAAGTGTATCTCGAGCCGGTTTCTCAAACTTACCTACCCCACCTTTAAAGTCTGTTTTAATCACTTATTACAACATTGGAGCCTCAAAATTGGAATAATCCTGCTTAAAATGAAGGTAAAAGAAGAAAAAAGAGGACTAACTATAAGGACCGGAGTACTTCTTCCACCACTACAAGTCTAAAGGCCTTGAAATATTTCTTTTTTTGCAGACATTAAACCTGAGTATGTAAATGTCTTTAGTTATAAAGCTGCACATAAGTAGCGACTGCTCCAACGTTTCAAATAAAGGAAATGACAAATGTACGCTGTTGCTTAAGAACCTGATGTCAACACACAATGGTATCTTAACAAACACACAGGATTGCTCAACACAAATACCTGAGTGGGGACGAAACAGAGGTAGCAGACTGAAAGAGTTAGAGATGCAGCTTGTTCGTGTCAGTGTGTGTGTGTGTGTGTGTGTGTGTGTGTGTGTGACCATACTTTTCATCCGATATCCTCATGACGGGAGAATCCAGACACAGAGAGAAAAGTCCTGTCTCTATCAGCCGCACTGATTCCTTGTTTAGTTTATCTGAGTCATAAAAGGAAGAAATAAAAACAGTAATAACTTAGTATTTATAAATGTCTCGGTTTATTCAGTGACATGCACAGTAAAGGCCTCATACACCCTTTTCTAGGTCTGCATGTAGCTCTGATGTACCTCTCAGCAGCCGGTCGTAGGCCTGTCCCCAGGTGTGACGGTGCTCGCTGGTCAGGATGCCCATCGGCTCTTTGTCCGTCTTCCAGGACTGAGAGCGGATCCTCAGCAGCTGTCCGTGGATCTGACTCTCCGTCATCCGAGAGCCGTCGCTGTTGTAAACCTCCAGCTGGAAGAACTAGAAGAAAAACAGGAGGCCATCTTTGTTACGCCTGTCTTCTATGAATGATTTATTGAGAAATGTTGGATTGGTTAAGCTTTCACTACGCAATGTTTTCCAAGATACAGACCGTCTCAAGGAGGGCTGTGTTCTCAGTTAGCACATTTTTTGTGATTATTTAAGCTCTGGGACTTTTTTCTTTGTCTTTGTCTGCTTCCAACACAAATACTACACACAGCACCAACAATTATTCTGTTAATCGATCAGCCAATCCTCAGAAAATGGACCGAAAACTATTCAATAATAATAACATATAAAGATATGATAAGATCAAATTCATTCCCAATTCATCCCAAGAAAAATTGCAGTGCAACATGTTCAATAAAAGTGGGAAAAGTGCATTACAAAAATGCCAAAATAAATAAATGAATTGTGGCCTTTATCAGTAGTTATTTAAAAATTAACCAAGATAGAGTTAGCTGGAAAATCAGCAAAATTACTAATTATTAAAAAGACAATTACAGGCAGATTTTTACATTATTATAATAACATTATTAGCATGAAAACTAACTTTATCTCATATATAGAAAAGAGATGGTAAATTAAAGGTAGTGAGAATGAGGCTTTAAAAGCACTGCGTTCAGATTGGTTTGGTTTCCTTTCTCTGACCTGCTGCCAAAACTAAAGTGATTCCCAATGATCTGCACATTTGTAATTGGTTGAGACAAGGAATCAAAATAATAAAAAAGAAAACAAACAGAGGTGTGATAACACAAGACTCAACATGTCTGCACTGTGGTATGATTTACAATCCAATAAGGATGATAAAGATCAGAGAGACTAAAAGAGCAAAACATTTTTAAATCAGACTGCTTCATCCCACCTGGTAGTTCCTGACCACTGTGATGTGTGTCGGCGAGCGTCGGGCGCGCCCATGGTGAGCGATGTGGTCGTGTTTGGGGCCGGGGATCCTGCAGGAGGAGAAGAGGAGCGGGTAGAGCTCCATGCACAGAGGCTTCCCTCGCGAGTGCTCCAATGGCAGCTGGCCGCTGAAACAGAGAAGCACACACATCCATCTTAATGTTTGTATGATATAATGAGTACAAAAGCTATATGTTTCCATCTGTACTGTAGATACAAAGTATCTGATCACTTCTCTGTGTTGTGTAGTCAACACTTTATAGATTAGCCCATACCAGACTAAAACTCTACAAATGGATGTTATAGCTTGTGAATGCTATGTAAAATGTCCATCTGCAAATTTACTACAGCTTTGAAGTAAAATTAGTGGAGTGAAAAACTATTTTTCTTTGATATGCAGTGGAGAATCGGTATTGTGTTTGTACATTTGGCGATTTATTCATCTGAATACCTTTAAAACATGAAAATTACTAATTACTTTTTGAATATGTCATACTTACGTGTTGATTATGGCCTTAAAGTCTAGAACTGCTGCAATGAGTTTGATGCAAACCTAAATGGAGACAGAAAGGTTGCGTTTGTATTATGTAACACAGTAACATTACGTGATCTCTTTTTAACATGCACAGACGGAAATTAATTAATTTACAACACAAACAGTCATTCATTAACATACGCTCGAGGAGTCAAATTACATTTTGGAGATTACTTATACACATGCGTTTTTAAGGGCAACATCATGACCCAGTGTTTTTACTGGAAACAAAGACATCACAGCACACCCTTATTTATTATATTTTATTGTTTTTGGGGGGATATTTTAATTTATGAACCTCCAGCAATGACAAATACGGGAAGTTCGAAACAATGATGTAACAACAAACAATACAATTGCTTTCAGAAAGTATCACTATCTTAGTTTTCTATAAAAGCAGTACACTGCTTCATCAGTGTGTCTGTAGTGTGTGTATGATATCATTGACTCACACTAGCTGGCTCCTCCAGCCGTTATAATCTCTCCTGGGCAGAGAGATGGCCGGGTTTGAATGCACTGGCAGTGGCTGCCTGCTCTCCAAGTACGCCCACTGCACCCACAATGGAGAGATCTACAGGGGAGAGAGGCCACACACACATAAATAGGACTGACATTTAACTCTTGTAAAAGGTTTCCATGAATCTGGGTGGAACAGATTTTTTTCAAAGAAGAAATCACAGTTGAAAGATATTACATTTTGAATACATTTTAAGCATTGAAATATAAGTTTTTTGCAGGGTTTTTGGCGGATGCATGTCGTTTTTGTTGTGAATTTGTGCTTTTTCTATTGTCCAATGTATAATTGCGTTACTTTGCTTACAATGACAAAAACAAACTGGAATTGATTATTTGTGGTTGTTTGGGGTCAGAGCTACCTTTCTACAAGAGTGGAAGGAAAGGTGCTGTTTTGCTTTTTGGCACCACTGCTTTAGCCTGATATTGATACCTAGCAGTGATGTTAAATCTGCCTGTGAGTGCTTCAAACACACACTGTTGCTCTATCTGTGCTTTATTAAAAACACCCATATCCGTCCCTGACATCTGTCACATTTCCCACACTGATACCAGCGGACACAGACCCAGTTCTTTGTGCGTCTGGCTCTCTTCTCCAGTCCTGCCTGCAGCCATGCACCAAGGCCCCCGGGCCTGCCAAACTCCTGCACTATCCTGCGGGTGTGGCTGAGCTCATCGGGGGGCAGCAGGGGCTCCAGGCTCCTGAGGTAACTCTGCAGCGTCTGGACCAGAGGGGGCACCGGCTGCGGGGGCACTGAGGAGAAACACAGCTCCTGCCTCAAAGAACCTGGAAGAAAGGGAGAAGTTTAAAGATTGTTTTTCTTCTTGTTCCATCTTTTTAATGTTTGAGCTTCACTGTACACAATGTGACAGAATGTGCAGAGCTTGACACTAAGAATGGATTTTATAGTGAAGTAGGGCTGCAACTAACACTTATTTTCATCATCATTTATTGTTTGGTCAGGGAATACTGATACCATGTCCCAGTTTTTGAAAGTCCAACGTGATGTCCCTAAGTTTAATTTTGTCAGTCGAACACCCAATTATATTCAGTTTATTAAGATGTACAAAAAGGGAAAAGCAGGAAATCTCCCTTTTTTAGAGAATTTATGGAAATGTTTGAATGGAAAAATATTGAAATAGTAAATAGACTATCAGAATAGTTGGTGATTATCTTTCTGGCCATCAACTAATCTTACAAAGGAGAAGGAGTATATCCTTTCTAAGACGTTTTATAAAAATAATAAATAAATATGACATAGTATAACAACTCAACTTTGCAACACTCATGTGTACATTTCAGGTAATATTTTCCATTGTATTTATTGTTGTTATAATATTTTGGTAAAATACCTTTATATTTTACAAAATGTATATGTATCGTATCATATCATATGAGGGGGGGAGGGGTGTTAAGGATATGGCTGTTCAGTGCACACGCCCAAATAGTGACGTTATAAGAGTAACCAACGTTTTGGTACAGTTTCACTGCATGTCAGCACAGTGCAATGACTTCCATGAAGGTTTGATTTAATGCCAATAACAGCAGGGCAGGACTAGGGGGCGTATCAAAATAGGAAGTGTATAAGTTATGACAGTAGAAACATGATTAGCGGCCTCCTTTTCGACTAATAACACTGCATTAAAAGCTATAAACCAATATGTAAACAGTATGACTCTTTAAGTTAACTCTCAAAACAGAAAACGACTCACCCGAGACAGCCATGCTCTGCAGGTTCCTGGTTGGATTTTCCTCCAAATCATGGTTCCTTAAATCAGAAATCCACCCCTTGTTGCATCTGTGTCACAATAGGCAGCTTTAAATTTATATTCTGATAACTTTCTGCACAGTTTCCACAGTCAGGTCGTCAAAGTCAAGAAGAAGAAATCCCTCCTCCTACTTCTTCTTCATGGTGGACGCAGAAGAGAGTCGTCGCTCGATGGATCCTAGTTTGACAACATCAGCGCATGTATGCATGTGGTAAAAAGAAAAGTGTTGTATCTTCAAACTGCGAACATGCAAAGATGCACGTACTGAGCTGAACTGACGCTGCAAGTCTGCACACGTGTTGACGTGAAAATGTTGCTGTAAACATCTACGTCACCGAGTCACGAACGGCTCAAAGAGCCGGCTCTTTTAAGTGAACGACGGGAGCCGGCTCGCGCCCGCGAACGAGCAATTGTTTGGGTGTTTTTGTTGTTGTTAAGTAATACAACAAGACAGAATGATATCATGATCTCCGCGCTACGGGTGCTCCGTGCATGCATGCAGTGACATGTAGCCTAATATCCAAGGATTAGAGACGGTTGGATGCTGCTGTTTTGCACATTGCAATACGTTTATTTGTATTATGTTTTTTTATGATAGAGACGGTCGGATGCTGCTGTTTTGAGCATTGCAATATATTTATTTTCACCATGTTATTTATTTATGATTATCTTTAGGCTCAGCAAATATGTGATGTCAGCTGCATGTTGCTGTCTTTTTTCTTTAGTTAATACTGAAACAGAGCCCTGCTGTTTTGTTAGGGCTTTTTCTTTAATTAAATACAATTTTAAAATGTCGATACAGTATCCCCTTTTTTTAAATGTCTATGCTTAAGTTTTTACAGGTGTTGCTATCTGCTTTGTGTAGCGTGGTTCTACAAGAATCCGTGTATCTACCGTCCATTTGTTTTTCTTTATTAAACACGTAAACGGAAGAGCGTCTGAGAGGCCATTTTGCATTTTGAGCGAGGGGCGGGGCGAAACTCACGGAAGTGATTTCAAAACAAAAGCACTCGTTTGCTAAAATCACACTTGAATCACTGCAGTATCCTGCTGAAGGAACGGTGATTATTATAAACAAGGGGAATTTAGCGATCACAACGAAAACGGCCAAGACACATATTGAGCCCAGAAAATGAATGTTATTAAGGGCTGTAAATATAATAAGCCTCTGTCTAAAATGGACAACATTGTTAAGAGATTTCAACTATACAGCGGTTCTGCACTGCGGTCACTCAGCCGCCTCTCGAGTTTGTTTTTTCAAATCAGCTGCTCTTCTATGGAAGCAAACAAGAGACAGAAGTATTTGAATTTTATTAGACACCGAATTTATAGCATTGAAAATAATTACTTTGAAAATCATGTATCTGAATGTTTTTCATCACATCAGCTTCTCCTTTCCCTCTTGGATGTTCTTCTGGACCCTCAGAGAAAGAGAACATGGTGAAGCAGTCCTGTCTCTCAGGCGTGTCCTTTCCTAACAGAAATATCAAGAAACATATTATTGCAGAGCAAGTGTGTTATTTAAGAAAGAGGTGTGTTTGTTTGTTCATAAATATAATGATTTTTGTATTTGAATGTGTTTTTAAATCCAACAGTGTACTACAAAGATAATCAGATTATGAATCAACCGTTCTAAATTCATCAACATTGAAATAAATGTATTATTAAAATAATTTAACTGTTATCAAAACTTAGTGCAACTGTAGAAGCTTGCTCTGTTCGGTTGTCTCACTGAAAGACAAAGGGTCGCAGCTCTCACTATGTGATGTTGCTTGGTAAAATGTAAATGTAACCTTTTGCTAAGAAAGTCCACTCAACATCACTGATGTGTGGGTGATCTAGTATTCAACCATGTTTAATGGCATGTATATCAGTGTATTGGAGTCATTACTTTATGCATTCTTTGTAAAGCATGAAAAAGGTGTACCTTGGAATCCGTGCTGAAGTTCTCTGCTGTTAGGACTCCAGATCTGTCTCTCCTCCTCTGGTCCAGCCTGTCTGGATCACCTTGAGGACACTTTGAACAAACAGATGTAAAGTTACATGCATGGGTTACAGACTTCTTTCCATGCAAACAACTTTTTATCTTCTTTTAAAAACAGGTCATAATCTTATTGTTATACTTAAGAAATGGCTGGATATCACAGTCCTTATACTGTATCAGTTTGATTGAGTATTATTGTGTAGGTCCTTTTTATTTTACTGTTACTTTGGACGAGGTTTTCATGAGTCAGTCAAATTAATTTGTTTTCATATGCCATATTCATATGTATCACACACGTGAGGGTAACACACAAACCTATTGAACAAATGCAATGCAATGGATAAGCTTAATTTCCACTGAAGTCACAGATAACGTCATATCTAATATTTAAACAAATCATTTCCTTGTCACTAAAGCATTGACTACGCCAGGGGTGCCCAACCTTTTTTGAACCGAGAGCTACTTTTAAAGTTGCCAGTCTGCCGAGATCTACCAGTCCAAATAGAGGGCGTAGCCATTACTGACAGCCTACTACCAGGTAAATACACACTTCTACTTGTATAAAACTGACCTTTGTACGATTAATACTTCATAAAATACTGCAGATCCTTTATCTTACCTCTTTCTAATCTACACACATACAAGTATTTAACTGAAGTTACACAACAGTGTTGTTGATACAGAGTTGGAGTTTATTCACACGTCACATACTACAGTGGGTAATGTTTTCAAAAAACATTGAACAGTGCTGCCACATATGACACAGGAAAAGAAGAAAAGACTCTGAACCCTTTCTTTGCCATTATATAAAAAATAGTGTTGCTACAAAAGTATAATTAGGCTTACTAATAACAACTCAGATCTGAAGCTACACAGGAATCTGCTGCAACAGTGCAATAAAAAAGACAAAATGAATAGAATCAAACCCTTTTTTTGTTGCATTTTAGTAGATTATAAAAAGAAATGCCTTTAAAATAGGATGCAAGCAACACTAGTTTCTTAACCTGAATTGATAATAGACTATAATCAATTTAAGTTTGCATTATTATACCATTTTGTACAATAATTATAATGAATAAGTTCAAACAAACTCAAACTTACAGCTGATTAATAACGGTATCTAACTTGAGTGTTTATCATATCAAAAACCTGTTGAAATGCTACTGTTATTTTTATTACGCATCGGCAGCCTCCAGGAATGCTTCTTTCACAACTTCGCCGTCTTAAATGAAAGACTTCATGTGTTTCGCAAGAACGTGACTGACACGATAAGATGCTATGGTAGCAGCCTTGCTCTTGTTGTTGGGCCTGGTGAAAATGGACTGCTGTGCATTTAGCAGTCCTTTCAGGCCCCTCCCCTTTTGGAGCGTAGGGCAGAATTAGGAGGGAATTCCGTCTCTTAGCGTTTGTGCACTGTTTTGAAATGCCGCTCCTAAATTACCCTTCTTCGATAAAGCCACGCTCACATTGCAGATGAGACAGATGGACTTTGAATTGGAATAGATACAAAAATAATCATCCTCCCACTCGGAGTGAAAATTATATATGTTTTGCTTCTGCCATAATTGCGGTCTTGTGTGTGTGCGGACTGTCACTCCTACGGACAACGTTAGCGAACTAGTGCACTGCGTTCACCAGCCACGCCCCGACACATGGGGTCACGCCGGCCAATCACAAAGCTTTGATGCGTTCAAGTGCATTATTCTGCCACAGGAAGATTATGTTACAGGACATTAACGATAAAACAGAATATTGTTGTTCTATTTTTAGACACATCTCGCGATCGACTGGGAATCTCCCCGCGATCGACCGGTCGATCGCGATCGACTGGTTGGGCACCCCTGGACTACGCTATTCATCGTCCTTAAATGCAGGAATTAAGTTACATGTTCTGTTCTACAGCCACGATGAGGCTGTTTCTCAAGTGTGATGATAATACAATTAAAAGAGGCATTGGTAATAATTAGTGCTTGAATTGGAATGAAAAGGTGCCAGTACTCTAAAATCAGCAACTTTTTCAAGTCAATTTTATATATACAGCCCACAAACAAGAATTTGGCTACTATAATGCTGGTGGGTTTGTCTCTTTACTACTGTATATTTTAGAAAGGTTCACTGTACTTAACATTTTTTATGATAGGCAGCGGATATGGCTAAAGCTCAGTAAGGTCAATATTAACTGAAAATATAGCAATCAAAGTCTAGATCTTCTGCTGAAGACACATGAAGCAGCAGAGCTTTCAGGTGAGAGCCCCTCTGGTGGTGTTCAACATTAATGACAAGGAACAAAGCTCTGGTCAGAAGCATTTTTTATAAAAAGCTTTAACAAAATTAAGTATTTCTGTACATTTTGAATGCAATCTAACTTTCCAACTCAGAAAACGAAAAAGTGCCAAAAGTCTTCTCACATGGCTGAGCTGCTTTGCAATATACTTCACCACTGAAGAATACACATATGTATAAAGTAAACTATGATGCAATCTAACTTTCCAACTCAAAGAAAATGATAAAGAGCATGAACAAAGAACATGTAAAAACAAATGCAAAATTTGCACAATCTAAAATGAGAAACTGTAACTGCAAGTAACAAAGTCTGAGCCATGGTAAAGAGTTACATTGAACACCAAGCTGATCAGATAACTCCCTGGTTGGTCTGAAGTCCTTCTATCTCCAGGATCTGTACAAATCGGCACATTATGCCAAAGTCTTCTCACTGGGTGAGCTGCTTTGCAATATACTTCACATTGTTAGAAAAGGCTCCAGAAGGCCTTGGGGACATCAGTATCAGGGCTGGAGCTGGACAGGCTCTTTCATCAGCACTTCTCCTTCCCTTTGCCAGCCAGGACCTCACATACTGTTCCGGATTGAACTGTCCTAGAGATGGTCCATTACATTTAATGAAAACCAGGCTGGACAGTCGGCTGACAGAGAGAGCATATCCTTTTTGCAGTAA